TTTCCAGCCACTTATTTTTTTTGCTAATCCTTCTGCAGAAAAGGTTGCAGAGAATCAAGATATTTCATATTTTATCATCAAATTTTGCATCGCACTTACAATTCAACCTTTTCTTCTTTCTTTAGATTTGTCGACGAACTGGAGATCCCAATAAGTTTATGTTCTGTAGAAGGTGTGACGGTGCTTATCATTGTTACTGTCAGCATCCACCACACAAGGTTTTGTCTGTTTCTCATGTCTCTGCTTCATGCCTAGTTAAAATATCATGATTTATTTATTTGTTTTTGGATGGTGTAGAATGTTAGTTCTGGACCATATTTGTGCCCGAAGCATACAAGGTGCCATAGCTGTGGATCCAATGTCCCAGGAAATGGCCTAAGCGTGCGGTAATGATGAATTTTTTATTACCTGTGTTCTGTATATCTGGTAACTCCCTGTCATTAGCAGGACGGTTTATCATTTCTTTTTTAATCTTACAGGTGGTTTCTGGGATACACTTGTTGTGATGCTTGTGGAAGATTGTTTGTGAAGGGTAATTACTGCCCTGTTTGTTTGAAGGTATAATCTTTCTCGAGGAATGTTGATCTTCTTCTTATGTGATTATCTTTATTTATTTTATCTATTTGTTTGGTTGTTGTGCTGGTTGCACAGCTTTATATGTCATCAATCAAATTCCTTGTGATTGGTGGAAATATCATAGTACTGTCATGGTCTGGCAGTTGTAATGTCTGTAGTAAAAAAATAGAAGAACATGCATTTGCAATCTGTTATTTCATCTTTGCTTCTGTCTTGCTTTTGATATAAATTTATGGGGGTGTGTAACAAATAACATTATGTCTGTTTTCAATATTTTTTATGAATGAGTTTGACTAGATGTTTTGGCCAAACCATGTAGGTTTATAGAGACTCAGAATCAACACCGATGGTTTGCTGTGATGTTTGCCAGCGTTGGGTGCACTGCCAATGTGATGGAATCAGGTTTGTTGCTGCCCTCGTTCATTGATGAATACATTGAGCTTATTTCTACCATGCTGTCTCGTGTTTATGTGAGTTTTTGAGGTAGATTGAGATCATTCTATCATTCCTATTTGTGTTGATCTGATTATAAATTTTGGTGGCAGTTACTTGCGTGCATGATAGTCAAAAACTTTTTCTTAGTACGATTTGATATCTGATAAATACTTTTACAGTACACGTGGGGTTGTTGATGATGATTTCTTTGTCTGTCTTTCAAATTTTCTATTTAGCTATTTAGGGTCTGTTTAGCTAGGATAAGCTATTTATCGAAGTGTTTTTACTGTAATATGCACATCCAAGTTTCCTATATAAAAAATTAAAAAAAAAAAAAAAAAAATTAGAGCTAGGGTAGTCGTAATCCACTCACTGCCTGAGGTTGGCTACAATGTAGGCTAGCTGTGTTTTAAAGCAGTCCTGGGAATTGGCTGTTTTATTTGCATGGCTTTTATTTTAGCAAAGACTAGTTCACCTTAGGGCAATACTGTTTCTTCTGACTTAGGCAGATTTGTCTGATTGGTTTGGGCAAACAGGCACTTAAAAAGCTCTTGAATGAATCTATGTTTATGGTTCATCTGTTGGTTGTGCTGAAGTACAAGTGGCTAATCATTTGCCTTGAATTCTTCCTTGGTGTGACTAATTTTTCTGAAGTGACCATTTTGACTGCTTTAAACTAGTTTATACCTTTCAGATATGAGATGTTTATTCTGTAAAATCCTGTTTTGCAGTGATGAAAGGTATCTGCAATTCCAAGTTGATGGGAATCTACAGTATAAATGTCCCACATGTCGTGGGGATTGCTACCAGGTTTGTTATTGTGGTAGTTGTTTCATTATCTCTTTCAGCAGCAAGGAGTAGCAGTAGGATTCTTTTTTAGAATGTTGAACTTGACACTTATATCTTTGTTTTCTCTCTTTGGTTTAATTTAGTTTTTTTTCTTTTTTCTTTTTTTTTTTTTCCTCCTTAATTTTGTATTTAAATCTATATTGCCAGGTCAGGGACCTTGAGGATGCTGTTCGTGAGCTTTGGAGAAGAAAAGATATGGCTGATAGAGATCTAATTGCTAGCTTGAGGGCTGCTGCAGGGTTGCCTACCGATGATGAAATATTTTCCATCTCACCGTATTCTGATGATGATGAAAATGGTCATACGGTTCTAAAGAATGAGTATGGGCGTTCCTTGAAGCTCTCTCTCAAAGGATTAGTTGATAAGTCACCAAAAAAGGAGAAGGAACATGGAAAGAAATGGTCAAATAAGAAGTATCCCAAGAAAAAGGGATATCCTACATCTTTGGCAAGTAGAACAGAACCACAGCAGAGTTATGAAGAACATCATGATGCTCTATCTCAGGGACACAGCTTGCTTGATGACATGCAATCTCCTAAAAATGAAGGACCAGATATATCTTCTTCTGTCGCTGGGGTTGTAAGTCATACTGAAGGAGTATGCTCTGTTAATCAGCCAGGGGTTTTGAAACACAAATTTGTGGATGAGGTGATGGTGAGTGATGAAGATAAGATATCTAGAGTAAAATCCAAGAGTAATAAACCTCATGATTTGGATAGTGGAGATGACTCTGGTAAACATGGTAGCAAGTCTAAGACTGTAAAGGCAAAGAAATTAGTTATAAATCTAGGTGCACGAAAAATAAATGTTACCAACTCTCCTCGATCTGATGCTTCAAGCTGCCAAAAGGAACAAGATGTAACAACCACAAACGGTATCGTTCTATCTTTTTTCTTCCCAAGTTATTTGTATTCTAAGTAGAGATGAGCAAGTTTTAATGAGTTATCAAGGTAAAGGGAGTATTATTGATTATTAAATATATCACAATTTTCTAGCTAGGTTTCAAGGCTCATTTTTTTTCTTAATTTTTGAGTTTAGACTTTAATTATTTATACTTTTTTATGGTTGAAAGAAACTGCGGCGGATGTAACCTATCAGTTTCAGATCCTTTCTTCGAAAACAATATTTTAGTTCTTATTAGCTGATTAATGGTACTCCTGCTCTCGCACTGGTAAATGGCTTATGTAATTCTTACTCATGAGCAGGCATTGAAGATGCAAGCCTGCAGAGAACCAGTAGCAAGTTTGTGCTGGATAGACGTGATGGCAGTGCTAAATCTGGTGATGGTAAATTTTAGTTCTCAAGATTAATTTGTTTAGTGGGCTTAAGTCCTTTGCATGCAGCTACTGCTTGAGATTTTTTAATGGAGGATATTTACTTTGGAGTTGCTGTTATTAAATTCATTGATTTCTTCAATATGCAGGAGACAGAGTTGATCACACTGGCAACTCAAGAGGTTTGAAGATTTCAGGAAGAGATGGAAATGTGATCAAATTTGGAAAAGTCAGGCAAGAAATTTCTGAACCAAACACCAAAACTGGGAGAGGGAGTGGTGCTGATGGATTTGAAACAGAAAACATGCGATTATCATTAGGAAAAAGAAACAAAGATGGAAGCAGGGCTACAGCTGGGTCTGCTGGTGAGGTTGCCTCAGTAAGAGGTGACAAGCTTTCAGGGAAGCAATTGGAAGGCAGGTCTGATGCGCTTGGGGAAAGCAATGATGATACACCAATTTTGCATTCATTACCAAAGGATTTTAAGCCTTCACTGAAGCTTAAATTCAGGAAACCTAGTCTTGAAAATCAGAATATTCAGGCTTCTCAACTTGAGGAAGAAAAGAGTTCAATTAAGGGCCAACGGTCAAAAAGAAGGAGACCATCACCCTTCACAGACAAATCCTCATTTAATGAAGATGAAGATGCTTCACAATCGAATCAAGACAGTTTAATGGATGAGATAATGGATGCGAACTGGATTTTAAAAAAATTGGGTAAAGATGCAATTGGAAAGAGAGTTGAAGTGCAGCAGCCATCTGACAATTCATGGTGAGTATTTTTCTTGGAAAAAAATTTGGAACACAATATACAAGAAAGAGAAATAAAAGGTCGTATATAGCTTTTTCTATCATGTTGATTTCATGGTTTAAATGTGTCCATTTAATTTGCCTATTTAAATCTGTTGATGAAATGCTAATGATTATAGTTTTTGTGCATGGCCGGTCTACTAACTCTTACTGTTTTCTTAATCCAGGCATAAAGGAGTGGTTACTGACACCATTGAAGGTACTTCCTCATTATCCATCACATTAGATGATGGTAGAGTGAAGACCTTGGAACTTGGGAAGCAAGGGGTTCGGTTTGTTCCTCAAAAGCAGAAGAGGTCAAAAACTTGAAGGATTTATTTTGTGCTCTGTAATTGATCATCTCATCTGGAGACTTTCTTCCTTCTTACAGATGAAGAGACAAATCTCCATCCTCCCAGGCTCCTAGAAATTCAAATTATACTTTTCTGGTTGCTTGTGGTGCTGGCCAATTATGCAGTCCAGAGATGCTCTCACATTGGGGCTGCTGATTTTTTTCTAACGAAGAACTTTATTCTGTTCCGTCGGGATTGATTCCAGATGAAGGAACACCGTCTCCTCTTTTTTTCTTTTGTTGCTATTTTTTTCTAATGTATTTGAACGCATACTTGATTTGAAATGTAGCTGTTATTGACTCCATATTTAGGTATCAATCTAGTGAAAAAAGGGTGCTTTTGATGGGTACTCTGTGCATAGCACATTTTATGTGAAAATTAAAGTGTTTGAATTCCAACGTTCTATATACATATATGTATATTTATATCTCTCTCCCCATGCACACATTTATCCACCAAAAAGATTTTCACGAGATAGGGAATTTCTATTTGTTCATCCGATCATTGCTGAACTTGCAAATTGAAATCAGTCAATGTATGAGGATGTTCAATTTATTTGTTATGGTATTCGGAGCCTGGAATATTCCCTTGGGTATTTTCAGGATTCCAAGCTTCATTTCTCAGTTGATTGTTAATGTCAGTATGATTGTGCTTCTTGATTTTGGCCTTTCATTTTTATATATGTTAGAATGGTGGAAGGAAAATGCTCATTGTTGGGCATCAGCCAAATCATATCTAACACTCGCTGGGGAGAGTTTCATTTTGCCTCTGCTTTACCCGCCCTGCCTTTAACAATAGACAGAGCTACTATTAAGCTTGACTGAAGGAAGTAACCTTGGAATAGTAGAAATGAAAGACAAAAATACATCTGACGAGGGAGAAATCATTTGAAGTAATTGGTGATAACATGTACTCTTGATGGAATTATACAGGTGGAGGTGGCAAGTCTAGTAAAAGCCAAAATCCAACACAGTCTTCTGAGTCTAAGTCCTCTTGAATGGCAAGGAAATGCAAACCTCCACAGGCTTTCTTTGCTGCTTCCCAAGCTTCAGCCTCAGTTGTCGTAACAGGGGTTTTCTTATAACTAGCATAAATATAACAAGTCGAAATTCCAACAGAGAGAATCAAGGAGCCTCGTGCAGTGTCAGCTTCGATTGAACAGACTTCCAGACCATTCATCCAAGCTGCAATAGCACATTTAAAGGTTTCATTTCATCCTTTATAATATATTTTCATGAAATGCAGAAACTAAATTTCAAAAGTAGTCTACAATATTAGGATAAAAGGTTGTGATTAGTGAAAGCTGATTAAAATTTTCAGCATTAGAGTAACAGCTCATTGCTACTAAAGCAGGAACCCCAGCTATGTTCTATTGTATTTAGTAGAGCTTGACAAAAGAAACACTTAGCTGATGTATAGATCATAGATGAAAGGGAGAAGTAAATAAACCTGCTAATGGCTTTGCACGTGAAGTTGCAACAGCAAGTCCTGGAATCAAAGTTTTCTCATCAACTTCAATCCCCAGTAAATCCAAATCTAGACTTGCGCCAAACACGAATTTTGTTTCTAAGGATGAGACCTCCTCCCGGACAGCTGCAAACAGAAAGTAAAGTTAGTAAAGGCTAGGAAATTTTATAGAGAAGTAAGTTATAACCCCTCTTAGATTCAGTCGGATACCCGAAAATTTAACTTGTTAAATGTTGTTATTGCGCACTATTCCCCCATTTAAAGTTTTAACTTCAAACACAAAAATGTTTGTGCAGGTTTATTAATGAAAAATGAGTACAAAAGTGAGATGCCATTTGGTTTGAAGAACATGAATCTTATTCTTGTATCAGTGAATATCAGTTTTAGTACCTGAAAAAGGCAACTGAACAAATGCCCATTTCTCTCCAACTAAGTTCTCAGGAAGTTCCATTGGGAAAGGATTGTCCAATGCCAAAAGTGGCTTAGACCCTTTCTGAAAACCAGGATGTTTTGTATATACTGTCTCATAGCGTTCATCCAACCATAAAAGTAGTGATATACACTGAAAAAAAAGAAGACAAAACAACACATAACAAAGAACTTGAAGATTTCATTGAAAAATTTCAACATTAAATTCATTTTAATCGAAACTCTCATCTGATGCCATGCTTCTCCAAAAATATTAACCATTCACTCACCCTTTTACTTGCAATTGGTTTAATACTAAGCTCTTTACATGCTTTTGTTATTATAGTTTGCATCTGTGACCTGTAAACCACCCAAAAAAAAAAAAAAATAAAAAAAAAAAATCATCAATGATAAAAAGAAAAATTCTACATATAAACACAAAACAAACGCAAAATTTAAGCACATTTTGATATTGGTATATACTAAAAATTACCATAAATTTCACCTGAAGAAGCGGATTTTCTCAGGTATAGGAACTCCAAGCTCCTCACTTATGGTCTCAATAGCCTCCTTTAAAGTGATACTATTAATCAAATTATTAGGAAAGTACTTTGTATATTGAAGTGAAAGTGAATCATCACACACAACAAGCTCCCATAATTTTTTTCCTCTGATATCGAGAATTGGCCTGGAACAAAAGTCCAGCTCCCATTCTGTGATGCTCTCAGGATCAGTTTCTGGATCAAGATAGCACAGTTCCTGAGTTGGGTCGTCTTCAAAATCGTCACTTTCAACTTCAGCTTCTTTTGGCACTGAAACTGAGCTCTCTGACACTGATGAGTTTGGTCGAAAATGGTGAAGTTTTGGCGGGGCTTTCGCCGAGAAATTGAAAAGGACTTTCGTTGGTTTTGTGAAGGAAGTGATCTTAGAGATGGGTTTGTGAGAGTTGAGAGTTGTGCTCTTCGTTCTTGCGGGATTGTTGAGACTTAAAGTAGCCATTGGAGCTCTGTGAAAGTGATGATAATGAAGATGGTAGTTTGTTTAGTTATTTATCCACCACAGAAATGATCCCATCGGTTGGAATGATCGGCCGAGCTTCAATAGAATCCCCGAGGCCCAAGCCCATGATATTTACACTACGAGAAATAATAAAAATTTATTTTTTGTCTTGACAAATCAAACTTTAAATTTAAATAAGTAGAAATAACATTATAATTTCTAAATACACTCATACTTTATTTTAATTTTTAAAATCGAATCTTACATAAACCCTAGTCTTAAATTTTAATAATCTAATTCTACATTTTTATAATCATTGAAACTTTTGTTTATCTTAAATATTTATTTGTTTGATGAAAATAAAATATTAAAATTATAAAAAACATAACGAGATGAATCTGAATCCAAATAAGAGAAAATAAGTTGAAATTACCTCTCCCTTTATGGCTAAATCAAGATGGCAAACCTTTAACCACCACTGGGTAGCCTAGTGGTTAACTAGGACTCTTGAGTGTATTATTCAAGAGGTTCTGAGTTCAATCATGGGTTACTAATAGGGGTGGCCATGAGGAGATTTTCTCGACTGCCAACTTCAAGTCCCGAGGGATTAGTTGATGTGTATACAAGCTGGTCTGAACACCCCCGGTCTCAAAAAAAAAAAAAAAAAAAATTGGATGGCAAGCCCTTTAGCCCCTCTAGTTAGCTATACCCAAAGACAAATTACTGGGTTTACCCAAAAATTATTCTTATAGTCATAGTGGTAGATCTAGGATTTTTGCCGAGGGAGGGTCTCTTTTGTTCCACAATTGTTTGTCAAACAACTAATAAAAACTCTAAAAAACCACCAAACCTTAAGTGAAGAAAATAATACTATATCAAGAACCTCAGAGAAAAGAATGTAATAATACAATAATTTCCTACTTGAATAAATCTATGAGAAGCGTAATTTTGAGTAAATGTGTTGAGTAAACCTTCTTTTAATTTTTTGCTTCCAAAGATTACAATATAAATTTTCATGACTTTTATCAGACCTAACCTAAGCTAAAATCAACCAAAACTTAAATCAAATCAACATTGTGTTGACTTTTAATACGAATTAATTAAAAAAAAGGAGAATTTCCTTGGTATAGACATAGATAGTAACTCAAATTTCTTTAATAATTTTGAGCAGCTAAATAGTGATATTTGGAATGTAAGAAAATGGTTGGTGACGGGTGAAAAATAATGTCATTTAAAATATAGTTAAAGTTTTAATTTGAGAAAGCAGATTTATTCTTAAAACACAAAATAAACTCACAAGGTCCATGTATTTTTCTCTCAAATTAGAATAAAAAAACCTCAAAAAGAAAAAAAAAATGATTCAATCCTTAAATAAACTAAATTGAAATGAACAATACACATACCTAAAATCTATAAAACAGAAAGCGGAGCTAATTATGACACCTTAAGTAGTGAAAATTTAACAATTTCAGTCTTCAAAAATTTTAAAAGAGAATAACATGAGAAAGAGAAAGAGAGAGTCCGTATTTTTGGGGACAAAATCATAAAAAGCAGGTGGAGCCGTAAAAAAAGTTTCAAATTTTTATATGATGTGGGCTTGAATAATTATATATAATAGTAGTTTTTTTGTAGGCGTAGATATATGTATATAGTTTTCATTTTTTAAATATGAGGGTGACCTTGGAATATAATATAATGGTATTTTTTTTGTGGGCTTATATTTTAGTATTTTTTTTTTTTTTTAAAAAAATCTGAGGGTACCCTCAAAGTGGCTGGATCGCCCTGCTTTGGAGGGGTACTTATAACAACAGGTTCATGTCAAGAGTCCATATTATTTTTTAAGATTTTAACATAATTTTTGAGTCATTGGATTAATCATTTAATTATCCATAAGTTAGGTTCATTTTTAAGTGTATTAAATCTCAACCATTTAAAATATCAATCCTTTTTTGTATACTGCATATAAAAAAAATATTTTTCAACCAATAAAAAAAATCCTATCTAATTCTCATTATTTATTATTCATTATTTGAAGATAAATCAAAATTAACAAGAGTTTAATTAAAAAAATAACCACCTTTGGTGTCGGATGAGCTATAGAGACTATGAGGTAATAAGGTTTTCAGTTCGATTTTCCAAAATTGCTTATAAAGTGGTTAATAGAGGATTTATCCATCGTTAATTCAGGATTTCAGAGAATTAATAGAGTTAGGTACATTTACGCAATTTTACTATATAATATTACAAAACTAGTCGGCCCAAAGCCAGCCCAATTTTGTTTTATGTCGGCCCAAAGTTTAGCCCAAAGTATCAATTAAAATTTATTGCGCGAATAAAGCTGCTTTATCATCCTCAACTAGGTCTGAGAACTGAATTTCCTGCTTCAGTTCCTGCCGCGTGATTCTTCTGCCAGTAGCCCTAATATTTCTCTTGTTGATATTCATTTACGTATACGAAAAATTCATTTATGTATGCGTCTGAGGCATTATGTTTGTGTTTTAAATATTGATTAATATAGTTTTGCACGAGTTAAAATTTATACAAAATCTCATTCGTGTACATTTCTGCTGATTTTTTTTTTTTATAATTATTATTTTGAATTTACTTATTATTTTATATAAATTTATTTAGGTTTATAGGTTTACGAAGGCCTGTATGATTTGGGATTTAAGTGGTTTTTCTTTTCAATTAATTTTATGATTTTTTTTATGCTTATCAAAGTTATGGAATTTTTACTGTGTGCTGAAGTTTCAAGCTTATATGTTAGTGTGAACTTGATATGGTTAAGTGATGAAATTTTAGGTCTCTTTTTCGTGCTTTCAGACTCCTTAACCTTATAGGTAGAGATGTAGTGAATTGTAAATGAGTGGCAATGAGTGCTGACATTGTCGAAATGGACCGTGCATAGTAGTAGATCAATCTTTTTTGTCTACTTACTTATGTGTGATGTAGTTTTATTGAATGAATAGGTACCTAGACGAGAAGGCTATGTGATTTGAGAGATGGTGAAGTTTGCAGGATATTCTTTGATTACTTCATTTACCCCATTTGATTCTGTTATTCTAAAACAAAATCGCAGATTATCAGTAAATTTATGTTACAAGAATCAAAATAATTCAAGGCGCCTGTCTTCTTGTACTAATAAAGATATACTACATGCAAAAGCCGAGATGGTTGCCAGGCGCTATCTTCCTCCTTGGTTTAGGTAGGTATCTATATCCTATCTGTTTGGTAAGTATTTTGATCCTATGGACCTGAATTGTGTTTTGATTCGTTGATTTCCAGTGTTGCTCCGATGATGGAGTGGACAGATCATCATTATCGGACTCTTGCCCGTCTCCTTTCAAAGCATGCATGGCTCTACACAGAGATGCTTGCAGCTGAAACAATTGTCTATCAAAAGGGGAATTTGGTAAGTTCATGAAAGATCTTTAATACTTGTCTTCCTCATCAGCAAATGGTTTTGTTCCTTAGTTTAATGAGCTATTTTGCGCCTTTTATTGTTGGTAGTGTTGATTTCTAATTATTTATATTTTTTGTTTCTGCAGCTCAGGACAGATTTTTGGCATTTTCTCCAGAACAACATCCTATTGTCCTTCAAATTGGTGGGAGTAATTTGGAGAACATAGCAAAAGCGACTGAACTTTCTAATGCATATGGCTATGATGAGATCAATTTCAAGTTTGTACTATTTGTTTTATCTTTTCCTTTTGGCTTCCTTTTTGTTTTTCTAACTGAACTGAGGCTTTGTCTTTTCCTGCTTGCCAGTTGTGGGTGTCCTAGTCCAAGAGTAGCTGGGCATGGATGTTTTGGTGTTCGTCTTATGCTTGATCCAAAGGTTTGGTAACTGACTAAATTATCATGTTCAAGCAAATATATAATGTTTTCTTTGTGAAATTCCTCTTATATGATCATTTGGTGTTTATAAGGAAAGTTTGTTGGTGAGGCTATGTCAGTAATTGCTGCCAATACAAATGTCCCTGTTAGTGTTAAATGTCGAATTGGTGTTGATGATCATGATTCATATAATGAGCTATGTAAGTCCTTTCATCAACTTCTTGTCCCTACTAGTATTTCATTTAAGAACCCTACATCATTTTAGAGTAAGAAACTCATACATGGAACAACTTGATTCTGAGAAACCCCAAGGACAAGTATTCGCAGTTCTTAACCCTGCATGGCTTTTTCATTGGATATTTTCCAATGGCTTACTGCTAAACTCAAAAAGTTCCTGGATTAAGGTTCTGATTGCAAAGAGGATAGCTCACTATTGTACAATAATCACTTTCCTATGTTTTTGCTGTGTCTTTTTTTTTTAATTATGTTTTTTAAATGTTTACTGATTTCCTTTTATAACATGATCCACTATTTATGATGACAATGAGGTCAGTTGAGATTCTAAATAATGCTATTTCTTTGATTTTTTTGGTAACCTTGGAATTACTAGATGTGTTACATGACACATTATCAATGCTTAACTTCATTTTTTTAACTAAAACCTTCTTAAAAGTAGCTAATTTGTAATCTCAATCTGACTTGCTTATTGGTCTTGGGAAGGAATATGCCTATTGTTTTATCAAGTACCGTGTTCTTTTTTCTGTGGTAGATCTTATGCTAAGGTGGCAATATTATACCTAGTCTCTCTTGTCCCACTTTTCAGGTGATTTTATCTATAAGGTTTCTTCTTTATCCCCGACAAGACATTTCATTATACATTCACGGAAGGCACTGCTCAATGGTATTAGCCCAGCTGAAAATCGAACAATTCCCCCCCTGAAGTACGTGCTTAACTATCTTACTATTTATTAAGTTTTAGTTGAATTTATTGGAGAAGGTTTCTGAGGAAAATTCCTTCTCTTCATTTTGCTAGCTTAAAATAATTTAAGTTCCTGGTAGATCATTGTTGATATGTTGTTATTTGTGTAATATTAACAATATTTTACTTGGTGTAGATACGAGTACTATTATGCGCTCTTGCGTGACTTTCCAGACTTGACATTTACACTAAATGGAGGCATTAATACAGTTGATGAGGTGAACCTTTTGTCAAACTCACTTTTCTTTTGACCTATGAATCCTAAAATCATGTGCAAGAGAATGTTAGTCTTGACTCCAATAATCTCAAATGTTATAGAATTGATAAATTTGATATGTTTTGCCATTTTCTATGATTTAGGACTTTGTTATGAGTAAGTGTAATGCTCGCACTTTCACTTTTAATGATGGTAATGGAGTGAACTTGCATTGCATTTTCATGTAAGGAGTGAAAGATGTCTTCTTTTGGAACTTTTTTAATTATGAAGGTTATCATTGTAGTAAATAAAGAATAAATTTTGAAGGATTATAAAAGAATAAGACTTACGAAGAATAATGTTAACTAAAAAATGTTGTGTAGAAATAATCTTGATTGTCATACATGTGACATAAGAGAGTGTGGTTGTTTTTTATATGTTTTAATCTAAATAGGTTGTTTGTAATAAAAAATGTTCTTACCTCCCGCTTTAGACTATATTAGAGTCTCCTAATTCTAATCTAATTCTAATGAGACATTAAATAATGAAGGGTTTTGGGAGTAAGATGATATTGGTCGACATAGTTCAAATTAAATATTGACTTGCGTATGGTTGTGACAGGAATCAAAGAGATGATTTTTTTAATGCATTAAATTCAAGTTTTAGTTGCACGAAAATCAAGTGTATAATATTAATAAGAGTGATTTTTAGCTTCTTAAGAGCTTTAAGTGAAGTGATAGAGGGAGGAAAGAAGGAAAAGAAAGAGAAAAAAGGTGTTGAAAATATTTCTTATTAAAACATCTAAAATTTCCTCACCTTTTCTCTTTAATCTTCTTCACTTCTCTCTCTTTTCTTCCTGCTCTCAGCCCTTCACTTAAACCTTTTAAGATGTTGAAAATCACTCTTATAATAATGCTTGTTTTGGGTGCTACCAAAACTTGCATTTAATGCGTTAAAAATCATTTCTTTGTCTCTTGTCATATGCCAATATGTGTTAATGTGCATAATGTTGGCAAATTTTATCTCTCTTCCAAAACACTTCAATATTATTACATAATGGTCTTAATCTTCTGAGATTATTCAAGTATTCACCTCTATTTCTTCATCTTTTTATTACAAAACATTCTATTTAGATTTAGAAATTTAAAATAGAATCCAACCCTCTTGTGTCACATGGGTGATAACATCTTCCTATGATGACATCATGCATTTCAATAGTATCACAATTATTTTCTATAAAGCCGCTTTGACTTATTCTATTCTTTACTACTGTTATTGTTTTATAATCCTCCCAAAATTTATCCTTTTTGTTTTTTTATAAACATAACCTTTATAGTAGTTTTAAACATTCCACAAGGAGGTTCTTTTCACACTTTACATAGTATAAAACAAATTCACTTCATTCCTCATCTATGAAAGGGTGGGCATTTCAGTAAGTTCTTGGGATTCTTTGATTGTTGATTGTTATTCCTTTTTGGTATGGTATGATTTTGTTTTTTTTTTTTTTGTTTTCTCTTAATTTACGGAATTCTCCTCATGATTCCTTGTTCACCTACTAATTATGAAGATTTCAAGTCACAGGTAAATGCTGCACGAAGTGAAGGTGCACATTGTGTTATGGTTGGACGTGCTGCATTTAATAAGTATGTCAACAGAAACTCTAAATTCTGGTCTTTTTCATTATTTTTTTTCCTATTTACGTGTCAAATTACGGAGGAGGAGAACATGGTTTTCCAGCTGAAGAACATGGATTTCTATTGTCTCTTTAATGCTTTTGTCCTGGGAGGTTATGTTTTTACATTTTATGAAGACCTTCGTCTTCATGTTAGTTTATCCTTCTGCTGAAAACCATTTTAAATTTTAACAGCCCTTGGCACACTTTGGGACATGTTGATACTGCAATTTATGGTGCACCAAGCAGTGGTCTGACACGACGTCAGGTTCAATACTAGATTTCGCTTTTTAATGGATGCATCTGCTTAATCTCTGTCAACTATTGACTTCATCTTGTGGTTTTGCTTTCACTTTTTAGGTCCTTGAACAGTATCAAGTCTATGGGGATTCTATCCTTGGAACATATGGTAATAATAGACCCAATGTCCGGGATGTGATGAAGGTGAGGATATAATTAGCAGCTTCACTGGATTTCCATGTTTTTGTTTTGTCACATATACAAAAAAATTATTCATAACAGTTTGCTGCTCCCTAATATTATATCTGGCCTTACATCTCGTGAGAGAGAGACGACTTACAATATGCGTAGTATGTTCACTACTGTTGGTTTAAATTGGCAGGATGCATTATATGCCTCTTCCGTATCAAACCCTAACCTGATCCATTCCTCTCACGATGTGGCAATAAGGCTTCCTTGTCTCCATGCCTAATGAGAATTTGGATTCAAAGTTGGTTTAACTGAGTCTAAATACTAAAAAGGGCATTTGATCTCAGCATGCCATGCATTATAAACTTTTTACCTGTTGTAGGGGTTAGTTCTCCGTAGATTTTGGCTTAGTAGTCAACACATGGAATACCAAGCCCATAGATGTGAAGCCACTTATCTGGGCTCTTTATAACTGCTTGTAAATTGGCCCAGTTTGACAACCTTGTCAATTGGTGTCTGTTACCTTATGAGTTATGAGGTCCAGTTTTGAGAACAGTCCTTACCAATATTATCTTTCTTTCTTCTTCATCTTTTTCCGTCTCAATTTTAAAGTGTTTATTCAAAATTTTCTTTTTGCTCACTTGATAACAAACTTTTACATGATATGCTGCAGCCGTTACTCAACCTTTTTCGGTCGGAGCCTGGAAATGGTCTGTGGAAGCGAAAAGCTGATGCGGCTTTTCTGAAGTGCACTGTATGTCACTTAGCTTAGTTAGCTCAATGTTAAGAAAAATAGGTTCTCATTGTCTCTGGAAATATTTACCAAAATGAAGGATCTAGATGGTTTTGACCACCAAGCAAGTTACTTACTAAAATAAATGATCTATTTGATTTTGGCCTCTCCATCTCAGTTAGTCCAATTTTATGCAGAATTTATGTAATTCAAGACATTATACCTTGCTCATTAACCTTATCGGGTTTATATTTGATCTTTCACTCTAAATCAAAAATATTGCAATATCCCCATGTAGTCTGTATGCTACGTTTTTTTTTTTTTTTTTTGAGAATTAAATGGTAAAAGCTAATGGCTGTTGGCAGCCTTGATGATATCTTGGTGGCTTAAATTTCTGAAGTCCTTTATCTGTGCTTTTTTCCATTTTAAGCTTCCCTGGACATTTACATTTGTTACTTGATTCAATTGTGACCTTTTTCATTTGGTTTTTCAATGTTGCAGACAGTCCAATCCTTCCTTGCAGACACCATCGTAGCAATTCCGGACTCTGTCTTAGATTCGCCTATTGCAGATGCACCAGCTGGTCGTAAAGATCTTTTCACAGACATTCACAATCTGCTACCTGCTCCATATGCAGCAAGAGAAGAGGAGGTACTATATGCTTAGTTTCTATAGGATTCCATACAAGGCAGGAAAACAAGTGGTATTAATGTATTCATTCCAATTTTTGGATATGGGCCTGATTGGTCAGTTGTAGCAATATTTAACAATTACATTAGTGAATAGTGCCCTATTCTTTCGTCACCCTTATATCGGTGATAGANTTTTCTCTTAATTTACGGAATTCTCCTCATGATTCCTCATTCACCTACTAATTATGAAGATTTCAAGTCACAGGTAAATGCTGCACGAAGTGAAGGTGCACATTGTGTTATGGTTGGACGTGCTGCATTTAATAAGTATGTCAACAGAAACTCTAAACTCTGGTCTTTTTCATTCTTTTTTTTCCTATTTACGTGTCAAATTACTGAGGAGGAGAACATGGTTTTCCAGCTGAAGAACATGGATTTCTATTGTCTCTTTAATGCTTTTCTCCTGGGAGGTTATGTTTTTACATTTTATGAAGACCCTCGTCTTCATGTTAGTTTATCCTTCTGCTGAAAACCATTTTAAATTTTAACAGCCCTTGGCACACTTTGGGACATGTTGATACTGCAATTTATGGTGCACCAAGCAGTGGTCTGACACGACGTCAGGTTCAATACTAGATTTCGCTTTTTAATGGATGCATCTGCTTAATCTCTGTCAACTATTGACTTCATCTTGTGGTTTTGCTTTCACTTTTTAGGTCCTTGAACAGTATCAAGTCTATGGGGATTCTATCCTTGGAACATATGGTAATAATAGACCCAATGTCCGGGATGTGATGAAGGTGAGGATATAATTAGCAGCTTCACTGGATTTCCATGTTTTTGTTTTGTCACATATACAAAAAAATTATTCATAACAGTTTGCTGCTCCCTAATATTATATCTGGCCTTACATCTCGTGAGAGAGAGACGACTTACAATATGCGTAGTATGTTCACTACTGTTGGTTTAAATTGGCAGGATGCATTATATGCCTCTTCCGTATCAAACCCTAACCTGATCCATTCCTCTCACGATGTGGCAATAAGGCTTCCTTGTCTCCATGCCTAATGAGAATTTGGATTCAAAGTTGGTTTAACTGAGTCTAAATACTAAAAAGGGCATTTGATCTCAGCATGCCATGCATTATAAACTTTTTACCTGTTGTAGGGGTTAGTTCTCCGTAGATTTTGGCTTAGTAGTCAACACATGGAATACCAAGCCCATAGATGTGAAGCCACTTATCTGGGCTCTTTATAACTGCTTGTAAATTGGCCCAGTTTGACAACCTTGTCAATTGGTGTCTGTTACCTTATGAGTTATGAGGTCCAGTTTTGAGAACAGTCCTTACCAATATTATCTTTCTTTCTTCTTCATCTTTTTCCGTCTCAATTTTAAAGTGTTTATTCAAAATTTTCTTTTTGCTCACTTGATAACAAACTTTTACATGATATGCTGCAGCCGTTACTCAACCTTTTTCGGTCGGAGCCTGGAAATGGTCTGTGGAAGCGAAAAGCTGATGCGGCTTTTCTGAAGTGCACTGTATGTCACTTAGCTTAGTTAGCTCAATGTTAAGAAAAATAGGTTCTCATTGTCTCTGGAAATATTTACCAAAATGAAGGATCTAGATGGTTTTGACCACCAAGCAAGTTACTTACTAAAATAAATGATCTATTTGATTTTGGCCTCTCCATCTCAGTTAGTCCAATTTTATGCAGAATTTATGTAATTCAAGACATTATACCTTGCTCATTAACCTTATCGGGTTTATATTTGATCTTTCACTCTAAATCAAAAATATTGCAATATCCCCATGTAGTCTGTATGCTACGTTTTTTTTTTTTTTTTTTGAGAATTAAATGGTAAAAGCTAATGGCTGTTGGCAGCCTTGATGATATCTTGGTGGCTTAAATTTCTGAAGTCCTTTATCTGTGCTTTTTTCCATTTTAAGCTTCCCTGGACATTTACATTTGTTACTTGATTCAATTGTGACCTTTTTCATTTGGTTTTTCAATGTTGCAGACAGTCCAATCCTTCCTTGCAGACACCATCGTAGCAATTCCGGACTCTGTCTTAGATTCGCCTATTGCAGATGCACCAGCTGGTCGTAAAGATCTTTTCACAGACATTCACAATCTGCTACCTGCTCCATATGCAGCAAGAGAAGAGGAGGTACTATATGCTTAGTTTCTATAGGATTCCATACAAGGCAGGAAAACAAGTGGTATTAATGTATTCATTCCAATTTTTGGATATGGGCCTGATTGGTCAGTTGTAGCAATATTTAACAATTACATTAGTGAATAATGCCCTATTCTTTCGTCACCCTTAAATCGGTGATAGAAACATTTTGATGATTTCAGTGTAAAATTACTAGAAAATGTAAAACATTTATGGCATATATATAAGCTCCTTTGAGCCTCTAGTTATATTACAGATCTCACTGCGCTGTCAATTTTATCTGTGTGTACGAGATAATTTCTGGCCCCTTTAATTTAATGTCTAGTATATACAGAGGTTGAACATTTGGTTAATTTTCTTCAGATTTTGTGAGTAGCTTTAATTGTTTATGCTTAAGCAACTATTCGGGTGGGGCTGATCTTTATTCTGTGGCTTGGATTTTGTGAATGAATGAAGTTTTTCAGTAACACACAGCCTCAAACTACTGATCCTGAAATGCTTAGTCTTGACTCTTTTGAGTACCAAAAGAAAGATATCAAGACAACCCACTAGTTCCAACCTGGATAATACTCATTATGTGGCAATATTTGATTGGTCTAGACTTATCCTGAAATCAGATCGTGGATGCTCTCCTCCAACAATCTCTTTTCCTTGTATTCTTCTATACTTTTAACTGACCAAAACGAGAGAGTAAAGAAATAGAATACAAAACTCAAAACAACAGAAAACATAGCATCTGCAGAAATGGCATCAATGACCATGACAGCTTCCTTCCTCGGAGGTGCCAACATTGTCAACCAGTCTCCAGTGCCCGCTCGGCGGAGACTCGTTGTTGCAAGTGCTGCAAGAGGAGGTGCTGAAGGAGAAAAGGTTAACTTGAATGTTGAGGCTAAAAAGGAGAGCAACAATGGGAGGAGGGACTTGATGTTTGCAGCTGCAGCTGCCGCTGTTTGCTCCGCTGCTGGCCTTGCTGTGGCTGAGCCACCCAAAGCAGGAACCCGAGAAGCCAAGAAATTTTATGCCCCAGTTTGTGTCACCATGCCTACTGCTAAAGTCTGTCACAAGTGAATTTGAATTGCTTTGCTGTGGAGTTTATGGACCTGTTTGGAGTCTCAATTTGTTGTAATCTACAAGTTAATGTGATTTTCTAGTGCCAATAACTTTGTTTCATCTCTTGCTTATCAGATTGATATTCTCTACCTTGAATGCCTTTTTTTCTTTCTCTTTTTGTGTCATACGTAGTGAGATTTTCTCGACGCATCTGCTTTAAGATGGTAAAAAAAGGTTAAAAATTAAAAATTATAAAGAGTAATACTGCATATATTAAAATAAAACTTAAAATTTAATTTTCAAATTATGTTTGTATTATTTGATATTATTATATTATTTACTAAATTATCACTTTATTCACATTTTAACATGCCGTAGAACGGTAATCCTATGAGATGAAAATTTTAAGGTAATATTTGAAAAATTAGGGTAATGTTAAAAACGATGTAAACTTATTCTAATAAATTTATTTTTTTAAATATATTATGAATAAAGTATAAATATATTGGATTTGGATGAAAAGAAAATCGTAAGGGCCTGAAAATTACTTCCCTAATTTTGTTCTTTTATAAAAATAATTACTAATATTGCATCAACCAATAGACAAGCGACACGTGACATTAATCTCCCCGAGCATTCTCTAAATTGACCATTTTACCCACTCTCTTCTTCTTCAAAACGGTCTGTGTAACTGTGTTCCGACAAAAAACTCAAAAGGAAAAGAAAGCAAAAGGAGAGACAATGGAAGCGGAAACAGAGCAAAACGACAACGCTACTAGCCAAAACGACACTTCATGGAGCTCTACAACGAACTGGATCATCGCTGATGGCTCTCTCGTAAACTCAATTACTTTCGAGTCCAGTTTGTCTCCGACCATTGACGGCGACGATGATAATCAAAACTCTGACGAAAATCAGACTTCTAAATCTCCTCTTGTTCTGTACCCTCCCTCACCTGATCAAACGCCCTGCGAGATCACAAGTGAGTCCTGAAGATACTTTATTTTTCAATAAAATTTAAATTTATTAAATTTATTATTTTATTTATGTGACGCCAAATGTGATTTTTTTTTTTTAATTCGAATATATGATTGATTTTTTTTTTTTTTTTTTTTAAATTATACATGATTTTGTTCTTTATCAAATTAGTAGGTTGAAGTATATGTAATTAAATGTTGATCGTATAATTTATGATATTTAAAATGATGATTTTGCTATGGCAATTTTGTGAAAATTATATTCTGAATTGCACTTGAATTGTAAGGTATAGATGCTGAATAACCTTTGCTGCAGTTAATTTTGCACGAAAACATGAGGTGCAGCAGGTTTATGTGCGGAGTACAGCTCGAGTGTACGAGATATATTATGCTTCTAATCTTCAGAGTAGCAATGAATATCTTTGCACTGTTCGCTGTGGTGTTGCTACTAGAGATGAAGAAGTGCTTCACACCCCTGATATCGGTGAAGTTACTTTGACAAATCAGGAGGGAGATGGTAAAGAGTCGGATGAAAAGAGAACCAAAGGTGAGAGTAGTTCGAGCACCAATGAAGATGGCTGGGTTGAAGTGAAAGATTTTGATTCTCCTCGATTTGATAATGGAAATTCTCCGCCGGCAAATTCTGGTGCAAAGACAGGAGGGAGCATAATGGTAATGAGTTCAATCTCATTTAGAATTATCTGAGCAGAGGTTCTTCTGTGTGTTTTTTGATATTTTACTGTTTGCATTTCCGTCTGTGAGTTGTTTATCCTTCTAGTTTCAAGTGTCTTTTGGATAGTTTTAGGAGTCCATTGTTACAAGAGCTACTGGGTTTTAATGTGTTTGTTTGGTGATGTGGGGCGAGGGGGTTGCCCCCTGGATGTAGTTCTTTTGGTTCACCACTTTAGTCCATCATAAATTGGTGGACAGCTCAAGGCCAGAAATTAGAATAACTTTTTCTCTTGATTGTTGTTCCCCTTGGCCTGACATGTATACCTTAGATACAATGTTATCACCCATAGCTCCTTATAGTCTAAACTTTCTCCACTTATGTGAAGAGATAAAGTTGTTCTTTCTTTGTGTATTGTGTTTCTAATTGAAGAAATTTTCAGGATTTTTATGAGGCTACGGCGCAGATCACTGATGCAGACCCCTGCATGTCCATTACAGTCAGGCTGCTGTCACTTCAGAATAAAGGATGTGTGTTTGTTGATGAGATCTATGTGTTTGGTGATCCTGTCGAGCCAGCTGATTCAGAAAATGTAACAAGTCAGACTGGAAACCGTGATGGCAGTTCTCTTATGGCCATGTTTGTGCCTACCCTTTTGCAGTTATCTAAAGCAAGAAGTGTGGGCCGGATACAAGATGATCGTATTTTAGATGCGAAGGAAAAGCAGAAAATGCAAGAAATTAGCTCACAAGCTACTGATTTAACTAATTCTGCAAACAAAATTCAGCAGGAAGTAAAGTTGCAGGAAACAGTTGGCTCGGCAGCGATAGCATCCCAGATTGAGATGCCTTCTCGACTTTCGGATGGAGAAAGCAAGCCTGACTTATCAAGTAGTCATGATGGAAAAGTCCTGGACCATCTTGTTTTTCGCGTGAGCAGAATAGAAGATCTCCTTTTGAGGTTTGAAGAACGTATGCTAAAGCCTTTAAATAGCATTGAAGCAAGGCTCCAGCATGTAGAACAGCAGATTGAAGAACTCAACAAGAAGCCCCAGAATTCCGAATTGCGGTGTTGTACAAGATTTTCTGCTCCAGAGTTTTCTTGCCACGAGTTGGATGATTTCTTAGATAATAATGAAAATAATATGCCCGTGTCAGATGAGAAGGGTTCTCCTTTATGTATCCCATCTGAGGATGGAGCAGATTTGGCAAATGCTAGTCAGTCTCCCTCAAGTCCTGTAGTCACTGCTCCTGACATTTCACATGCTGCTGATGAGGAAGAAGATGATGAACTGGAAGCAGTGGCAGAGTCTTCAAAAGAGGAACCAAAACGTATTTTATCAGTTGATGATGCTTTAGCATCTGCACTTGCAGGACTATTGTCTTCAACATCAGCTGAACCTCAGAAATATACGCAAGCTCTTGCTATTAAAGCTCCTGATTTTTCTTCTGAGGAAGATAGCAACAGTGGCAAAAAAGCTTCACGAGAAATTAAAGATGGAATAGCCACTGATCCTCCAATCCACTACACTGTAACTGATGAGACAGAATGCATAAATGATTCGGTGTCAACTTCTTCAAATATTCACTTTTCAGAGAGTGAATTGGAGGTGATTAAATCTTTTGACGATCACTACTTGGAGGATACTGAGGAATCGGTTGATGAGAAATGCTGGTTCAATGAGGAAGGAAAAGATGATTCACAGGCCAGGGGTATCCAGGATGCAGCTGCTTCAGCTGGGCAAGAGATTACAGAGATTGATTTGCATCAGATAACGGAGGACATAGAAGGTTTAGAAGTTATCAACCGATTAAGCAACACTTCTGTTCTTGATGATTGTGAGGCTGTGAACCAATTTCTTGACAATCAGATGGATGATGGCTCAGATTCTACCCAGGATGTAGCTTTTGTGAACTCTGAATTTACCACTACTACAGAAGTCAAGGATGAAGAATCTGACAAAGCAATTCTGCAGAACATTCTTGAATTTCCATGTGCTTCTTCCATTGTAGATTTTAAAATACCAATCCTGGATGTTAAGTTTGTTTCTCAGGATATTTCCCATACCAGGTCTCTTCTTGAAGCCTTTTTGGCGGACATCCCTGATTCTAGCGATGAAGCTCGTGCTACTGAAAAGGATAATGGTTCTCAAGTTGGCGAGCAATGTAACTTGATTTCAGTGGATGATTATGAATCGACAATTCCAACAAGCACTAACCGTTTCTCTGTGGATGTGGACTACTGCAGTTTAGGAGAGATACCATTAACCGTTGAGGATGAAGGACTGCGGGAATATTATACAAGCAACAAAGGAGAGTGTGGGGTGGGACTCATATAAATCGACTCTTGTTTGTTTATAACTGATATGGTCATCTGTGTGCTTGCAGCCAGGTACGAAAGCTGTGGAAATAGGCATAACCTAACTGAAAATGTTAGGTTGTATATAAATAATCTGGTTTAGACTTAGCAAAGCTTTGTGTTCATTGAAAGTAGCATTGTTCCAGATTGAGATTGTTATCCTTCATATGCTTAAACTAGCTTAATAGCAACAGATTGATGATTGCAGTTTGGCGATTTTATTAATTGTCCATGGCCTTTTTTATCTTCATATGCTTATACTAGTTAGCTTAAGCAACATATTGAGAGCTATTGGTTTGCTTTCTGATTGCTATTTTTGGGCTAATGCACAAATGTATTACTCGAATAAAATAACAAACAAGAAGTTAAAAACTCATTGAGAAGTTCATATTCTGACTTATTACAAAATCATACCCAAGTACAGACCATCCATGAAGCAAGCCTCGCTCGAAAAATTGAAGGCAATTGCAAATGAGCCTAAATTCTTCCAGAAAACTGAAAATAAGCAAAAATACTGTGAAGCAGCTCAAGGGTAATGAAAATTATTATCCTCATAGCTAGTGTAGTGGATCATGGGGTTCACCATTGGAGGAGCTCCAGACGTCCACTGGTAGCCGCCATTCATTATCATGGGGTTCATCATTGGAGGAGCTCTTGGCATTGACCGGTAACCACCATCCATAATCATGGGGTTTGCCATTGGATGACCTCTAGGCATTGACCGGTAACCACCATCCATAATCATGGGGTTTGCCATTGGATGAGCTCTAGGCATTGACCGGTAACCTCCGTCCATAATCATGGGGTTTGCCATTGGATGAGCTCTAGGCATCGACTGGTAAGCACCATATGGATGTGGTGGTGGAATTGACCTATAACCATAACGTGGAGGCGCTGTCCCTGGCCTTGGAAACATCATGTTGGTGTTGTGGTTATAGTTTCCTGGTTGACCAAACGTACCCAATGGCCCCATTGATGTGTTTGGAAAATGCCACTTGGCTGCTGCTGGAGATTTGACCAAAAATCCATTCTTCCTACTAGTACCAGTCTTTGCTTTCTTATCCTTCTTAGAAAACCAAGAAACAAACACTTTCATAAACCCTTTTTTAGATCGATCAGAACTTGCTAATTCATCTGCCTTGGCATCCTGAACCTCGTTTTTGCAAGAAGAATTTTTGCATTCATCTTGGTCTATTTGCATGGAGTCTTTCTATTTCATTATTTCGAGACGAAAAGACGGGGTGAATCGTTTGAAGACATAGTCATAGTAACCCAGTTACAAGGGACTTTGAGAGTTGTCCGGAGAGAAACATAACATCCACTGTCTTAGGTGAAGATTCTTTTATTTTATTTTATTTTTTATTTACTCTTTTTTTCCCCAGTTTATACCTGATATTTACACCTTTTTTAAATGGTAAAAGTACCACTATAATGGTACTTAAAGGAAGTTGAAGAAGTAACAAAAGAGAAGTGTGAGGAACGTTGTAAATAGATTCACTTTCAAAGTACTAGTCTGTAAAGATGCATATAGTTTGACAGAAATATATAGACGAATAAATATTAATCAATAAATAAAAAATCATAAATGAAATATCTTGTTTTAATAATATTATCGAATTAATAAAGGTGAAGAACAATACCGAAGTGGGTATTTCGCGAGGAAGTTCCATTAAATTAATTTAAAAAACTTGAACAAAACTAAGAACAAGTTGTGGATCGTTCGAAGGAGACAATGAATTCAAAGGTTAATTTGCATAGAAACATCTTGAATTGAGGATTGGGGTTAGTATATATATTAATATTAAGACTGTCTTCATCATTTTGGCAAGTAGGAGGATCATTAGGCAAATAAAATCTATAATTCTATAAATAAATAAATATACATTATATTTTGAAGATTTTTTGATATATTTATATTATTTTTTAATAACTCTGTATATAGTCTTTATAAATATAGTATTAGTCGCAATTTCAACCCAATTTGATATTATTTTTTTAAAAATAAATTTAATATTAAATTAAACCACAAACAGGTAGATTTAATTAAACATATTTTATTTCAAATTTATATATAGTCTTTATAAGTATAGTATTAATCGTAACTTTAACCCAATTCAATATTAATTTTTAAATTCAATATTAAACCCCACAAACAAATAGATTTAACCTCTTCCTTTGTGGTAAGATGACAAATGCTTTAACCAGTGGGTTAATTATATCTAGGGTTCAAGTCTGTACTGATAACCAACTATCGGGTTTAACCGCAAGGGTTAACTATACTCAGATTAAGAGTAGGGATGGGTGTTTGCCTCGGCCTCGCGGGGATCGGCCCGACCCGGCCCCTCATTGGTTAATTATATCTAGGGTTCAAGTCTGTACTGATAACCAACTATCGGGTTTAACCGCAAGGGTTAACTATACTCAGATTAAGAGTAAGGATGGGTGTTTGCCCCGGCCTCGTGGGGATCGGCCCGACCTGGGGCGAATGGGGCGGGGAATCCTCAAAAATATCAAGGATAGGGCTGGGGACGATCCTAAAAAAAATTCCCGCCCTCGGGGACAGGCCGAGAGAGGGGATTGTGTAATCCCCAGCTTGGCCCGACTCGCCCCAGCCCGTCAACCCCGCCCCTGTGGAGTCCCCATCTTCTTTTATTGAAATTTTTTTTTTCTTTGTGGGATTGTATATAAAGTTAGAGTTTAAATCATAATTTTTAGTAATGTATCTAAATTTATGATATTTGATTTTATAATACTTTCTAATATTTGTATTAAATGTATAGAAAAAATAATTTAAACAAGAAAGTCTAATAATTAAATATATGTATTATTACTTTGTGCATTTCACAAAATAATAATACATGGCCCAAAAATAAATTTGATTAGGTTATTACAATTTATCAAACCAATATAAAAATATACACAATTGCTTAACGACTTACAAATTACACAAATTCAATTATTTTTGTAATTAATTAATGGGTCAATTAAATATGATGTTAAATTTAAACAATTTTGAAAACTTGGGATAATGAGATTTGTCCCTTTCACAAATGGACTAATTTTATTAGTTGTATTGGACATAGTATTTTATTAATTAATTCATCAATTTACCTAATAAATTATGTTAAGGTTGAATTTAGTTATATTAATTTTATGAAAAATTAATTAATTAACATGGCTAACTAAGCCTAAGCCTCCATACAATTGAATAATTAATCAATTTATCTAATAAAGTATATTAACATTAGATATATATATTTATTTTATGAAAAATTAATTAATTAATTGAGTTGATTAAGCCTAATTGGCTAAGCCTTTATACAATTAAATAAGTAATTAACTTAGCTAGTAAATTATGTTAAGATTGAATTTAGTTATATCAATTTTATGAAAAATTAATTAATTAAAAGGGCTAATTAAGCCTAAGTTTCTATACAATTAAATAATTAATCAATTTATCTAATAAATTGTGTTAAAATTAGATATAGATATATTTAATTGTGTTGGGAAAAAAATCTTTGCAGGGTGAATTTTCCAGTGAAGCTCTGTTCATCGGGTCGGGCCAGGACGAGGGTGGGAGTGATTCCATCCCCATGGACCGGTAATGGTCATGGGAGTTGTCCCCTCCAGTAGGGACGGGCGGGGGACAGTCCTAGGAGTGGATATCCGGGCGGGGCCGCGCCCATCCCTTTTTAGAGTTAAGAGTCCATGGGGCCATGGGGATAGCCAACTGCCGGGTTTATATGTAAAAAAAAAAAAAAAAAAAAGATTAATTAAACATATTTTATTTCAAATCTCCAGCCGGAGCCGCTAACAAAAGAAGGAACAACGCACATCCACATTCAACTTCACAAAGAAACTTTTTAAAACCCTAAAAACAAAATTAGGGTTTTATACTGCACTCTGTAACTTCAAATTTGGGGTTTTGGGTCCAATTTTTGAGCTAATTGCAAATGGAGGCTGCAGTTGTTGATACTGGCTCGAAGCTTCTCAAAGCTGGACCTGCCATTCCAGATCAAGCTCCTTCAATGGTAATTAATTAATTCCTTTAAGCCCTCTGTTTGGTTGCTGAGAAAATTCTGAAATGAAGAAGAATTTTTTTATTTATTTTTTATTTCGTAAGGAGATTTTCTTTGCTTATGTTTGAAATGTGAGTACGTAATGAAATGAAGAAGAAAGTTTTGATTTTTATTAAGAATTTTGTTGCTTTTATGGTTTTCGTTTTAAATTTGTTCGAAATGTGGTCAGATAATTCCTACTCAAATGAAGCGCATGCTTGAAGATGGTTCTTCTGGTGATAATAATAATTCGTTAGCAGAAGATGTAACTGTGGATCCTGTTGTGAGAGGTTTTGTTAGAGATTGGGATGCCATGGAGGATTTGTTGAACCATGTTCTCTACACTGGTCTTGGATGGGAAGTGGGCAACGAAGGACAAATTTTATTCACTGATCCACTTTGTACTCCCAAGGTTAATTAATCAAACTTTACTTTTCATCTTTTGTGGAAGACGGAAAATTTTTGCATATCCTTGTGTATTCCTTCAGGTTTTACTATTTTAGTGCGTATTTGTGATACTTTTATTTGAGAGTTTGACATTTGTTTTCAATTCTCATAGAGTGAAAAAGAACTTAGTAAAGAGAGGATCTTTACCTCTTTCTGAAGTGTTAGTTTCTGTTCAGTTGAGTGTAAGCGAGTGGGTAAATTTTACCTTTTAAAATAATCTTCTCGTGAAAGATTTTCAGCTGCAACTAACTTAAGTGGGTGTATGAGTGTATCCCCTTTTCTCTAATATTGCTGTACTCAACTGTATGATATTTCATTTAGTTAATTGTAATGTGGTTGGAAAGGGTGTGAATTTAATTGACTTTTATATTTCTCTGATATAAGTTAAAAATTTAAATTTTCCAGACTGTAAGAGAACAACTAGTGCAGCTTATGTTCGAAACATTTAATATCACGGGGTTTTATGCTTCAGAACAAGCAGTACTGTCCCTTTATGCTGTTGGACGTATCTCTGGATGTACTGTTGACATTGGCCATGGGAAAATTGGTATGTCTGTTGTCCATTCCTTGTAGCTAATGAGGTTATTGTTTGTGTTTGTGCATGTCAGTGTTGCATGCACACGTGCGTGACATTTTAGTACTATAGCTGTTTGAATATGATAGCATACAGCTTGTTTGTACCTTTTTTCCAAAGCATATAGGTCTAGTTACTACATTTTTCAATTTTAATTTATTGAGATATGCATCCATAAGCCTTAATAGTGTCAGAATCTGTTTTAAGTTAATGGCTTTTATTATCTTTATCTGATTCAGATATTTTAACAATCCGGTTGAAGTTGTCTCCCTTTGTGATGTAACTGATGTTTCTCCCTGTAGATAACATTGATAACTTATTATTCTATATTCACTTGTCCAATCAAGTTGGTGGATTTTAAAGGAACTTTGATTCCCATCGTATCCATTGCAAAATGATTTATTTGTTAACTTAGTGACATGTAAAACTTTTCGCTTTACCACCAGATATTGCTCCAGTAATTGAAGGTGCAGTTCAGCACATTGCCTCCAGAAGATTTGAGGTTGGAGGTGCTGATTTGACTAAGTTACTTGCTCAAGAACTAGGTAAATCTAATCCTTTGGTGAACCTCAGCATATCTGATATCGAAAAATTGAAAGAGCAATACTCTTGCTGCGCTGAAGATGAACTTGCTTATGAGAAAACCAAGCAATCATGTGAGATAGAGCAGCATACTCTACCTGATGGACAGGTTTGTAACTTTCGTTTTGCTTAATTTACTAAATTTGAGTTGTAACTTAATTATATCTTGGGTAGATGCTTATGCTAAGTGCAAAATTCATAGATGAAACAACTGTTGACTTGCTAAAGGATTTGTTGGCCTGATGGACAGTTGTTACTGATCCTTTTGGCCTGACCCAGTTCTTCATAAAGTTCTGGTGAATACCTTACTCATAAGAGAGAAAATAAGATATGGTGAATAACCCTGAATGAACCCATACACTAGTCAGAAATTAATAGATTCTAATGTTGGACAATAGGGGTGTAATAGAGAGAATATGGTGATTCCATTCCTGAGGTCCATAGTCCATGTATGCAACCCAACAATTTCAATTGAGTGTGTCATTTGCTCTGGTGAGTGGTTTTCTTCTTGTATCTTTTGTTAGATGTCTGACTGTTACACTTTTTAAAATTTGGTTTCAGGTGATAAGAATTGGAAGAGAAAAATATACTGTTGGTGAGGCTCTATTCCAACCATCTATATTGGGTTTAGAGGCCCATGGAATTGTTGAGCAGCTTGTTCGTAGTATTTCAACAGTTTCTTCTGAGAACCATCGGCAGTTGTTGGAAAACACGGTTCTATGTGGAGGCACTACTTCTATGACTGGTGAGATTTATGTTCTTTGATCCACCTAAAAATTGCCTTAAATTGTTATCAGTTTTTCATTAAATTTATAATTTCTTACATATTTTCTACTTATCTCTGTGGGCTTACATGTTTAATTGTGATGCGACCATCCACTCAACTAAATGGACTATTGGATAAACCAAAGTCTCTAAATTTCATGGACCCCTAGCTGCAAAAGTAACTGGTTATGTTTTGTTGCCTACTACAGGTTTCGAAGATAGGTTCCAGAAAGAATCTGGTTTGTGTTCATCAGCTATTCGTCCTGCATTAGTGAAGGTAATCTACTTTTTTGCCAAAGATATTAACTCCAGTCTAATTCTTTCCAAAATGTTATCATACTGCTTTGTTTTACTGTAGCTGTCTCTAGGAGTGGTCTTTTATTTTATATGGCAATTTAGTTTACAATTTTTTTCCTGGGATCTGGTAAGCCAAATGGTCAGTAGCTTATCAATAATGGGTCTATTCTGATGTACTTTTTTATAAGTTGCTAGTCGTACCATAAATCATCTATAAACAAGTTTCGCACTTTATTTGATAAGATAGTACTAACATATCAAGAAAAAGAAGCAATCATGATGATTTTTATCCTCATTTCTCTTAAAGTTGTACTCATGCAAATCCATTTCAACATGATTTCCATACTGATTGTATATTGTTCTTTATGAGTGCTATAAGTTCTGATATTTGGTTTATTACAGCCACCAGAATATATGCCAGAGAATTTGGCACTGTATTCAGCTTGGGTTGGAGGTGCAATACTCGCTAAAGTTGTGTTCCCCCAAAATCAGCATATAACTAAGGCAGACTATGATGAAACTGGACCTTCTGTTGTTCACCGGAAATGCTTCTGATAATTCTCAGTTGAGTGAATTCTTAATGTTTCTCTGATGGCGCCTAGTTGTATTATAGTAAGTAGATGCTATTTTAGTTGAGACTGTAACATGATAATTCTCACTGCAGAATGAAAGATATTCACTAATTGAGCTATCATTGTATCAACTCATATTACTTAATTTAAAGGGTCGGTGATTTGTATCTTTGCACACGGAATGAATCAAATGATCCAGTCAAAGTCATTGTATAAATCATGATTGTGCTCAATATTGCTGGGTATGTCATTTATTTGTTGAATTTATTGGTCTCTAGAGAAGTACCATACAAGTCACTACAACGCATGAACTACTATTAGATTTGCTTCACATGGTTGTCTTGGAATTAAGTGATTGTCTTGATGTTCTTTTCAACAAAATTGTTTCGGAGATAGATGTATGTGTTTTCGTCTAACCATAATACACCATGTCAATTCACATGATGTTTATGATCATCGTGATTCCCCCCCAANCTGGTAAGCCAAATGGTCAGTAGCTTATCAATAATGGGTCTATTCTGATGTACTTTTTTATAAGTTGCTAGTCGTACCATAAATCATCTATAAACAAGTTTCGCACTTTATTTGATAAGATAGTACTAACATATCAAGAAAAAGAAGCAATCATGATGATTTTTATCCTCATTTCTCTTAAAGTTGTACTCATGCAAATCCATTTCAACATGATTTCCATACTGATTGTATATTGTTCTTTATGAGTGCTATAAGTTCTGATATTTGGTTTATTACAGCCACCAGAATATATGCCAGAGAATTTGGCACTGTATTCAGCCTGGGTTGGAGGTGCAATACTCGCTAAAGTTGTGTTCCCCCAAAATCAGCATATAACTAAGGCAGACTATGATGAAACTGGACCTTCTGTTGTTCACCGGAAATGCTTCTGATAATTCTCAGTTGAGTGAATTCTTAATGTTTCTCTGATGGCGCCTAGTTGTATTATAGTAAGTAGATGCTATTTTAGTTGAGACTGTAACATGATAATTCTCACTGCAGAATGAAAGATATTCACTAATTGAGCTATCATTGTATCAACTCATATTACTTAATTTAAAGGGTCGGTGATTTGTATCTTTGCACACGGAATGAATCAAATGATCCAGTCAAAGTCATTGTATAAATCATGATTGTGCTCAATATTGCTGGGTATGTCATTTATTTGTTGAATTTATTGGTCTCTAGAGAAGTACCATACAAGTCACTACAACGCATGAACTACTATTAGATTTGCTTCAGATGGTTGTCTTGGAATTAAGTGATTGTCTTGAGGTTCTTTTCAATAAAATTGTTTCGGAGATAGATGTATGTGTTTTCGTCTAACCATAGTACACCATGTCAATTTACATGATGTTTATGATCATCGTGATTCCCCCCAAATGTTTGAGATTAATAGTAAGGAAATGAAAAATATTACGTTTACAATCTAATTTTACAATTTTCTCTTACGTGTCAGCAGATTAGTATTGTCATATCAGTTCTTATTGTACTTAAAACACCAGAGACACTATTAGAAACGAACGGCGATTGTTCCTTATAGAAAAACAATCATTCATTCTGAAGGAAAAATTGTTCCTTAAGGAACAACTGTTCATTTCATAAGGAATGATTGTTTACTCTATTAAGAATGGTTGTTTCTTATTTATAAACGGTTTCTTCATAAGAAACAACTATTTTTTTTGTGAGGAATGACTGTTTCTTTAGTCTAGTCAAATTCATTTTGATGTGATAACGTCAACTCAGTTTTTACGTTGGGGGTTGTAAGAGAAGTTTGTGAAAAAAAAGTTGTTAGCTTGACATTACTTGTAAGGAAATTTGCATTTTGTTGTGAATGTAGCTCGTTTAAGGTAAGTGGGTTATACCCAAATTTGTTTTTTGACCTTGGGGTCAAACAAGATTTGGCCCTACCTTGACCGACTAATCAAATTAAAAGCTTAGTCAAAATCAAATCATAATGTATGACCTTTTTAATAAATTTTTATGAAAAAAGTATGGTTAATACACTGGCAATAATACATGGTAACAGAAGTACAAAATCTTTCCATATCATGAGGCTGTTTTAATTTGATTGGATATCCTCAAAAAGAAAGTGCCACGTATGTGATTAGCTAATCTTTTATGCTTAACAGTTCCAACTTTACATAGACTGGTCTTGGTCACCTTTAATTGAAAAATTCCTTTTGCTTTAATGTGCTCACTTTTTCCCATTCTAAAATCTAAAGCATGCAACTTCTAGAAAACAAAAGCAAGATGAAATTATGGCTGGCTAGGGTTACCTTTGATGATATGAAAAATTAGAAAACGAAATCTGGGAATTGAACCTAATTATGATCAAGAGCGAGCAAATTGTATTTGAGAGGCTCAAAGTGTAAGATTTAATGAACAAGGTCGTACAAACGTAAACTATAGTCTACTTTTGTGTACCCATCAGTTTGATCCACTAATTATGATTTATAAGTTGATCACACTCCATATAACCATGAAATAACAAAATCGAATCAAGTAGGAGGTGAATTTTTTTTTTTATTTTTTTTGGTAATCAGGGTGTCTAGACCAGTTTGTATATATTTTAGCTAATCTTTAGAATCTATTGAACAACTTATAAGGCTAAAACAACCATATAAATTACAATATTATTATGATAGGTATTCTAAAGGTGTGAACGTAGAAATTCAAGAAAGATAAATTTGTCGATTATAATAAATGAGATTTGGCCGCATCTTGCACAACCACCAAGGATAACATCATACGAGTGCTGAACACAGTCACAAACGCAAAGGCACCAAGAAACAAAGGACTCAATTATAGAGTGGGGGTCCAATCCACAGTCAACAATCAACCTAAAATCCAAAGGCATCGGCCAATACACACATCAGAGCTTCCTTAACCCACATAACAACCACCATCCATATATATTTCTTCCTTCCTTTTTGCCCACCCCACCAACTTTGTCCACAAGAAGGGGAGAAAGAAAATATTGTTTTCGCTAGTGTTGAAGGATTGATCTTTCCACTATTGAATTGATTCAAATTTGACTATGAATATAGAAATAGGAGATTAAGTTTTGGGATCTTGGGAAGTTGGGAAAGAGAGATAGAGATCAATGTTGTGGTGTCGTTTTCTTTTTTGATGAATTAAAGTGAAAAAAAAGTGCAATAATATTGATGTATCTTATACACATAGACCATTATTATGGTCAAGATCTAAGATCTTTATAAGGTTCCCCACCTGAAGTAGGCTCCAATAATTTGTCCAGTTCCCAGCTTTGTCTTGGTGCAACTTTCTCATGAATTGGTGCATACTCCTGCAGAATACATTCAACATTCAAACCATTTAACTATACATTAATCATCCTCTCTACAATAATTCACCAAACCCTTATCAGGTCAAGATTCTGTTTCATTACGAGAAAAAAATGACTGAACTAATGATACAAGAGATTATATATATTATATATATATTATCGGTTATGTTATTACCTCCATCTTGTTGATGAGTTCTTCTGCAGTGTGTGCCATGACAACAATTTGTCTTGCAGAATCATGAATGAAACCTTCTTCAACTCCTTTATCAAACAAGGCTATCAAGCTGTTATAATACCCATCTACATTCAACAATCCCACCTATATATTTTTTACAAAATTAAAACATGCACCCATCGAATCACAATATAATTCAAAGAAAGTTTAATTTTCAAGCTCATATATAATCATTGATCTTACTGGTTTCTCATGTACTCCTAACTGAGACCAAGTTATCACCTCTAACAATTCTTCCATTGTTCCATATCCACCTTAATAATAATAATAAGAAAAAAGGTTAAAAATTTCACGTAAATCACCCAAACAAAAACTACTATAAAAAAAATTATATATATTATTATTATTATTATTATTATACAAGTTACCAGGAAGTGCTATAAATGCATCAGCATGTTTTGCCATTTCAGACTTCCTTTGGTGCATGTCTGCAACTGCTTTTATTTCTCCAATGGTCTCTCCTGATATCTGCAATATTAGGGTTTCCAGTTTTGCTCAATTTAGTTCTCTTATTTATAAAACAATGAAAGAATTAAAGATATAAATATATGTAACAGTACCTCATGGGACATGAGAGCTTTAGGAATCACTCTATATATGAAAATAAAACATGAACAGATTTACATGTAAGTTTTTAATATTAATTAACCTTAAAAAGATTGCAAAAGAAAGAAAAAAATGGGAAAGTATTACCCAAGAACATGGCAACCTCCATTAAAGACAGTTTTTGAGATCAATCCCATTAGCCCTACACTTCCTCCTCCATAAACCAAATCAATATTTCTCTCAACCTGCAGGTAATTAACCAAACAAATTGACCCAGTTAAGAAATTTATCTGCACAAGGCTCATAAGAAGGATAAAGAAATAATCTATATATATATATATATCTTACCAGTTCTTTACCAAGCTCAAGAGCAGCCTCACTAAACGAAGATTTGTATCCAGCTCTACTTCCACAGAACACACATATTCTTTTGAACTTTCTTGTCTTTTCATTTGATGAAGAAGATGCCATGGTTGATGAATTCCTTTTTCTCCTGAGGACAATCAATTTTTTTTTTTTATCTTTATCTTTTCAAAGGCTTAACTACTTTTGTCTGTTTATTATAAACAAGTACTTTGTACTGAACAAGAAGATGAAGAAGACTAAGAGCCCACCCCCATCTCTCCTTTTATCATCATATTCAACCTTTTCTCTCTCCAATAAATTTATGAATCTTTGATGAATTTTAGGAGCTTACTATCCCCATAACCTTTCCATTTTAGTATGTAGACATGATGATCCATAATACTTTTGCTTTGATTATTTTGTCATTGACCATAATTAACTAAGTCACCCTAAACTCCTTGTTGCAAAAGAAGACCACTGTTTGCCTATAACAATCATGGGAAGCATGTTGACTGTTGTGAAGATGACCATGTCAGGGCCCCATCAAAAAGCTGCATATTATTTCTCTGCTTATAATATTACCATAATTTGGGATCAAAAAGCCAATTAGTTTAATGCCAAGTTGATTAATATATAATTATAAGATTATATATTTATTAATTACCATTACCATTCAACTTTCTCACTAAATCTCATCCATCCATCAATCTAGCTGCACATAATAGACCAACTTGATGAAAATTAATAGACTTTTAGATCTATGTGTCCGATTATTATTGTTTGTAATCGTCAACTAATGCTCAAGGTAAAATTTTATGGTCTTTAATTAAAAAATAATTACTGAAATTTTGTTTTTGTAACATTAACCTTTACATTTTAGTCCCCTTATTCAATGACTTTAGATTTTGATCCCTTTAAATGCAATTTCCTGCATAAACTTTTAACTTGAGTCTCCCTTATTCATTGAACACCACAATTTAGCCCCTCAAATGCAATTTTGTGGTTCCGCATCTGGCTAGCTAAATCATAATCGCGAATTCAATCTTGCCTCCTTGGTATGTGTTTCAAGACAAGCCGAACGAGAAGCTTGCAAGCCGACGCTAGGAGCACACAAGTGTCGGAGCATGTCTTGCGACGCGCCTTGCCAACCATGGTTTGATGACAATGTCTCCACCAGTGTATCATCAACCTGGGTTTAGGCCGTCGTCACAATCCGCATCGGTCCACGCCCTAAGTCGATGGGCGGATCGACTTGTCACCGTTACATATCCAATCGACACACACACACACACACACATATATATCACGCCCTAAGTTGATGGGCGGATCGACTTGTCACCGTTACATATCCAATCGGGACACACACACACACACACACACACACACACACACACACACACACACACACACACACACACACACACACACACACACACACACACACACACACACANTCAAAGTAGGTTTACTTACCTTGAATATGTGAGATCATTTCCCTTTTTCTCCAAATCTCTTTCTCTTGGACCTAAATCATATAAAAACCATAAGAATTTAAAGCTTTAAAGTTTAATCACACTCCTTTTGCTAGAATTTTATCTTAGGATGCTTGAAGATTGAAAATCTCCAAAAATCTAGATCAAATCCTAAGATTTTCCTTTGAAGTTAGTGAAGAAAATTGAGAGAAAAATAGGGTAGAGTGGCGTGAACAAGGGCTGGATATGGGTTAGGGTTTCTTCAAATAAAGCCTTATATCAATTAATATAAGCATGTGTTCCTATTTTGCCCTTGCACTTTCTCTAAAATTTCATCTATGTCCCTTAGTCAATTACCAAAATGCTCTCATTTTATTGCATTCTCCATGAAATTCTATCTCTTTTCATTCCCCACAATTTAAACTAATTTTGAGTGAAAAGACCATTTTACCCTTAATGCAAGTTTAAAGTATTTTTTTCACATTTTCTCAAAATATTTAGCAAAAAAATCAACTAAAAGTATAAGAGTATAAATTAAATTACGTACCTCCATGTGGGCGTTACAATTCTCCCCCTCTTATAAGAATTTCGTCCTCGAAATTTAAACAAACAACTCCGGATAACGGTTCTACATATCTTGCTCCACTTCCCATGTAGCTTCTTCAACTTTATGATTTCTCCAGAGGACTTTCACTAAAGGGATACTCTTGTTTCAGAGCTCTTTAATCTTTCTGTCCAATATCTAAACTGGACGCTCCTCATACACAAGGTTTTCTTCTAATTCCACATCTTCTACACTTAATATATGGGAGGGATCACTTACATATTTTCGAAGCATCGAGACATGAAATACATTGTGTACTCTGTCCATGCTCGATGGTAGAGCCAACCTATAGGCTACCTTTCCCACTCGTTGTAATACTTCAAATGGACCAATGTATCTCGGTGCTAACTTTCCCTTGCTACCGAAACGCATCACCCGTTTGTAGGGGGCAACTCTTAGGAACACTTTATCACCCACTTCGAATTCAACATCTTTCCTCTTTAAGTTTGCATAGCTTTTCTGCCTGTCTTGGGATTGTTTCATTCTACTTCTGATTAACTTGACATCTTCTATGATTTTCTGAGTTAGTTCTGGCCCAAGAGTTATATTATCCCAATGTAGTGGAGATCTACAACGTCTACCATGCAAGGCCTCGTAAGGAGCCATCTTAATTGTAGACTGATAGCTATTATTATAAGCAAATTCCACCAAGGGTAACATCTCATGCCAGGACATTCTGTAATCCATGCAACAAGCCCTCAACATATCTCAAGTATCTGATTTGTTCTCTCTATTTGGCCATCTGTTTGAGGATGGTAGGCGGTACTAAAAGCTAATCTGGTACCCAAGTTCCTCTGTAAACTAGTTTAGAAAGCTGAGACAAATCTGAAATCTCTATCTGATACTATTGTCTTGGGTACTCCATGCAGTCTCACTATCTCTTTAATGTAAATTTGGGCCAATTGATCTGAAGTAGTGCTCTCCTTTACTGGAAGAAAATGGGCTGACTTGGTCAGTCTGTCTACTATTACCTATACAACATTAAACCATTTCTGCACTCTAGGGAGACCTGTAATAAAATCCATCGAAATACTCTCCTATTTCCATTCAAGAATACTAAGCGGCTGAAGCAACCCTGATGGCCTTTGGTGTTCTGCTTTCACTTGCTAACAAACCAGGCACTTAGCTACAAAATCTCCAATATCCTTCTTCATATCTAGACACCAATAGCCTTTCTTTAAGTCTTGATACATCTTGGTTGCTCCAGGATGAGCAGTGTATGATGTGTCATGAGCCTCCGTAAGAATTCTCTTCTTTAACTCATCATCTTGAGGAATGCACAAACGACTCCTGAAACGGAGGACACCATCTAACAGAAGGAACTCTGGTATTTTATCTTTAATCACCTGTTGACTTATTTTTTGATACCACTCATCAACAACTTGTTTTCCTCTGATTTCTTCTAGTGAAGTGGACTGAACCTCTAACCTGGCAATCCTTCCTGGTATGACCTCAATCTATTCTTTGCATAATTCTTCTATTAATTCTTTCTGCCTTATGAGTCGGGACAAGTAAGCTTTTCTACTCAAGGTGTCGGCTATTACATTGGCTTTTCCTAGTTGATACTTAATTTCACAGTCATAATCTTTAACCAACTCTAACCATCTCCTCTGTCTCATAATCAGCTCCCTCTGGGTGAAGAAATACTTCAAACTCTTATGATCAGTATAAATATTGCTCTTTGCTCCATATAATTAATGCCTCCATATTTTTAGTGCAAAAACTACCGCGGCCAACTCTAAATCATGCGTAGGGTATCTTGTCTCATACTCTTTCAACTGTCGAGAAGCATAGGCTATCACCCTACCCAACTGCATCAACACTGAACCAAGTCCCTGAAGTGAGGCATCTGTATAAATATCATAGTCTACACCCTCTTGTGGTAACACTAGAATATGAGTTGTGGTTAATCTTCTTTTTAACTCTTGAAAACTTTCTTCACAAGCATTCGACCATATGAAAGGAGTTTTCTGTTTGGTAAGAGTTGTAAGCGGCTTAGCCAGCTGGGCAAATCTTGCTACAAATCGCCTATAATAACCTGCAAGCCCCAAGAAACTTCTAACCTCCTTTATTGTCTTCGACTTTTGCCACTCTAAGATTGCCTTCACCTTACTAAGATCCACTGATATGCCTTCCTTAGAGACAGTATGACCCAGGAAGATAACTTGATCTAGCCAAAACTCACATTTAGAAAATTTGGCAAATAACTTCTTATCTCTCAATCGCTATAGCACAAATCTTAAGTGTTCTTCATGCTCTTCTCTTGTCTTAGAATAAACCAAGATATCATCAATAAACACCACTATAAATCGATCAAGACAATCATGGAATACCTGGTTCATTAAATCCATGAAGACTGTTGGGGCATTGGTTAACCCAAAAGGCATTACCACAAACTCATAATGCCCATATCTGGTCCGAAATGTCGTTTTGGCAATATCTTGCTCTGCCACCCTTACTTGGTGATAACCCGACCTCAAATCAATCTTTGAAAACACTGCTGCTCCTTTCAACTGATCAAATAAGTCATCTATGCGAGGTAACGGGTACTTGTTCTTCACTGTCACTTTATTCAACTCTCTGTAATCTATACACATCCGTAGAGACCCATCTTTCTTCTTCACAAATAGGATTGGAGCTCCCCAAGGAGAATGGCTGGGTCGAATAAAACCCTTATCTAGGAGTTCCTGAAGTTGCTTCTTCAACTCCTGTAGCTCAGCTGGGGCCATCCGGTAAGGGGCTTTAGAAATAGGTGCTGTCCCTGGTGCTAGTTCAATGCTAAACTTCATTTCTCTTTCTGGAGGTAAACCTGACAAATCATCTGGAAATACATCTGGAAACTCTCGGACTATTGGTACATTCTGGATCTCTGATCGAGGGACATCACTGCTTTGTACCACATGGACAATATATCTGGAGCACCCTTTTCTGAACATCTTTCTGGCCTTTACACTGCTAATTAACATACTAAGTTGATGGCCCTCTCCGAAACTAAACTTATCGCTGTCATCAAGATTAAATCTTGCTTTCTTCTTCCGGCAATCAATTTCTACTCCATATCTCCCTAGGAAATCCATGCCCAAAATAACATCAAAGTCAGGCATGTCAAACACAATCAAATCTACCGACAACATTCTTCCATGGATCACTACGGACTCCCCTGGAAGCATCTCCTGAGTTACCACACTGTCACCATCTGGCAATTCTATCTTTATGGGTTGATCTACTGTAATAAGTTTCGAACCCAATCTCTCTATAATCCCATGTGTAATAAATGAGTGTGTGACTCCAGAATCAACTAATGCATAAAGGGAAACTGAATGAAATAATAACTGACTAGTAACTGCCGATGGGCTAGCCTCGA